TAACGTCGCCCCTGGCAAGCACGCTACCCGATTCCCACGCTGAGCTAGACGCTGTCGTCAAACCGCCGTCAAACTGCCCGCTGCGCTGCCTGACATCATCGATGGAGGTATCGCGAGAATGTATGTTTGCCTGTGCCTGCGCTGGACGCGCACACCCACCGACGGAAGTCTCCACTAGAATTCGTGAGTGCGCAAAAGCTCAAGCTCGGTTGAATTCCTGCACCACCTTTCTCACTAATTTTCGCCACAATGGCACTATTCCTCGTACTCGGTCGTAGTACTTGGTTCTACGATCGCACACGCTGATCGTTCGCTAGATATCGATGCTATGCCGGCCGCTGGTCTTCCCAACTGATGTCCATGCGCTGCTCGAACACGCATGCTGCTTGGCGTCGTAGCTCAGCATACCTGCAGCTACGACATTACACGCAGCGCCTGCAGCCGCTACGCTAAGCTCTGGTCTCTTAAACAGCTGTTAATTCGTCGTACTGTAGCCGTCTCTACGATAGCGCGTGTAATGATCTTACACTCGAAAATTTGACCGGTGGTCTGTTGTGCCAAATTACTATTCGTGTTGAAAACAGTGGGTATCCCTATAGTGCGCATGCACAATATAGCATGGGTGGTTTCGCCACGGACCGTACCTCAGCTCGACAACAATTGTATCAGGGTTGCCGCTCTTCAAAACGGTAATTATTGGTAATTAGTACACATGGCTGTCCATGTCGATCGGAACGGAGGGTGTAAATTATTGTTTTGAAAATCGGTCACTACTGGAGCACTACAGCAATACGACTTGTGGACACATCGATACGGATGGGTGTAACCTGACGGTGTGTGGCGACCGACGTGCCGGAACTGTTGGTGATCGAAATGAGAGACGGCAAGATGTCACTTCACTTTTCAGAACTTTAAAGAGTGGTGCTCACGCGTGCGACGGTACAGCCAATATCGATGTTAGTGAACTGACTACAAGTTCGCAGACAATATCTGGCAACGTCCTACCGGATAGATTCGCGGATACGTTAGATCAGCTCGCGATGTCGGATAATAGATTCTCTGGAGACCTGGCTGCAGCAAGTGACCACACAAAGTGTGTATACTGCAAGCACGAGTGTAGCATGGAGCACACCTGTCCGTGGTGCAAGAAGTTTATGCACCACTTCTGCAGGAGGGTGCGTATCATTAAAAGTCCCTGCCCCATGTGGTGGATTTCTTGCAGATTTCGGTGATAGTAGCTATTGTAGCCAACTGTGGTACTCTAGCGCTACTGAACGATAGAGTTAGGATATGGGCATGGGTTCAATACTGGAATGACTTGCTTCACAAAAGCACGATGAAAGGAACTTCGAATACATTTTACGTCCGTAGTTTCTTCTGAAACAAAACCTTTGTGATTTACAGCGGCATAAACTGAGCGGTGCTTTCCTCTTGAAAACGGGATTTTTACCACGCTTTGTATTCCGGGCAGACCATCCATAACGCCGATAAGCGTGACGCCCATCCTTGGACGTCCACAGGCCATCGTGGTGTCTTGACAAGGCGGCTTGTCGTCTTCAACAACATCATTGACAAAAAACAAATTGTTCCATCGAAAAATAGACCTTGGTTTCGGCCCAAATATATCACTGATAAACTGAACATCGAGGCCGTATACATGCATAAGAGAAATCGCACGCCATCGATAGTTTGCTGCGTAAGTCATGCGGCTTGTTTGAATAGGGTGTCGCAAGTGGTGGCTGGTTGGTCAATTCTGCGAGTGGTGTTAGCTTAGGGCTAAGAGCAACAGCTTCTCTATAATGCACTATCGACTCTGCATTGCCCCTTATTTTGCCAGTATATCGAACCTTTTATCAAGTTTTCGGGCACCTTATTGTGGTAAAATCGAGATTTGCCTCGTAGCCAGAGTTATAAAATCGAGAAATAATGAACTGTTTTGCCAAGATATCTACAAAGTACAATACATGTATCTGCTACGCTGGCGACGAATAAAACGGAAAAACTGTACAATAAAATGTCTCAAGTTTTCGTTGAAAAAAATGTGGTTTATGACTTTCATGCAACATTGTTTTTTAATACGCGATCAGTTTCGTCAGCACTCATTGTTGGCTGCTTGTTCCATTTCAAGCGGCCGTGTAGCAGTAAACTTAAGGAGTAAAGTATGCTGAAAGATGAAGCTGCAATTGCGATGTCTTTTGCAGTATTTGACATGTTCACCGTAAATTGACCCTGACAAGATTTCGGTGCAGGGGGTTGCGTGGGTAAAACGCAAGATTAAAAATCGTTGCAATCGAAAAAGTCCCCCGTATTCTCGGGAAAAGAGGAAAACGTTTTGGGCATACTTTGACAAAACATGGTGCACAGCAATAAAAAAAAGCCATCTCCAGTAGCTGCTTTAGGCCTGACCTAATTGTGGTAATAAACGTCGGTGACCAATGTACACAAAAGGATCTCACACTGGGGTAGGTTCTTCAGCAAGAACCAGTATAACAACGAGATACCAAAGATAAACGCTTTCAATTTTGATTACCAACCGAACACGTTTTCTTTCACTAGACAAATGTTGCTTGTTCTGGACTAGACGCTTTCAAACTGCTTAGCTTCCAACTGGTTTGATGCGTCCGTATTTCAGCTTCTTGTAAGCCTTGTTCAGCTCGTAGAGCGCGGTCTGGTACGCTTGAAGCTTCCCGTGATCCAAACGATTAAACTAGCTTAGGTCATTCGCCGCTTTTTGCTAAAGCCTCCACTTTGCTGGAAGGGGCGCCTCTCTCCTCGAAGTCTGCATCTGCCGCATTCTCGGTCCTGAGGCGCCCTAAGTGCATCACTTTATGCGAGGAGAGTAGCCGCGATAGCCACAAAGACGTAAGAAATACGCATGGGGAGGAATTCAGCTGGAAAAGTAGCGCGAGGGCAAATTTTGTAGTGAGGGAGGAGTAGAATTGCACCCAGCTCGTCTTTCATACCTGAAGCTTCTACACCATTTCCTGGGCTGACTAAAAGGTTTTCCAGGCATGTGAAAAAGGAGATGAGAGGCAAAAAAAGGTCACCGTCTTAGACAAAAATAGTACGCTTCCCATCCTGATCATCTCTTGTCCCAACCAATGTGAGAGGTGCCAAATTTAGGTGCCAAAACGAACCCATAGCACAAGTTCATGTACTGCTCACATAAAGACAGCGAGTGGCTCACAGATACGTTGTTGGCACTGACGCAAGGTTGAATATTCTCATCCTCAATTCGATTTTAACAACGCCTTCTCCCACCGTCAACGCAAACTCTCTGCACGACCACGCTCGAGAGCAAGCCAAGCAGCGCGTCCTTTTTCGTGACTTCCGCGAAGGTGGTGATTGGAAACTTGCTGCAATCCACAACGACATACCCTACAATACTGCTCGTCGTGCTATCCTAAACAACGCTGCGACGACCAAGCCGCGAGGTGGCGTCCGTCAGGCTTGTGTGAAAATGACGGTTGAAGTGATGGCAAAGATTGAGGAGTATATTGATGAGGATTGCAGGGCCACTTTGACTAACTTGTGTGACAGACTGCGTAACGACTTAGGTGCTGTTGTACGCAAGTCATCCGTTTATCGTGCTCTCCAAGGCATGCTTTATAGCACTAAGAAGATACGCATTGAGACGTCCACCATAAACAGCTCCGATAACAAGATCAAGCGCAAAGCGTTCGTAGAGAAGCTCGACGACCATGTTGCCAAGGGAAACATGATCATCTATCATGACGAAACCAATTCCAATCTCTATTTGTCACGGTCACGGGACTGGTCCCGTATCGGCGACAGGGCCGTCGCGCAGCTTCCACCGTCGCAGGAAAACAAAAATTTAACGTTTAAGGTGGGGTTTCAGCGCTTACGGGGCTGGTGCTATTGCGAACGCACGAAGACTTCATAGCCAAGAAAGAGAACACCCGCTTCATTGCTGACCCCTTCGTAGCAGCGCTGCGAGCGGAGGAGTATCGAGAGCTTCCTGCCGACAACAAGATCGTCATTGTGACGGACAGCTCGCCAGCACACAGCAGCGTCGAAGATTTAGCCCTCCAGTTGCTTGTATCCGATGGCATCCTAGACGGCCACAACCTTGAGCTTCTGCGGCTCGGTCCTTACAGCCTAATGCGAAACCCCATTGAGGGGTGCTGGAACGTCATCAAGTCCAAGATGCGCCTCTTCATGGCGTCAAAGAAGGATGCGATGCTTGTGCGAGATGAATACAGTACCTACACAGCGCAACGACTAGCTATCATGAAGGAGGCGGTTGATATGGCGATGCCGCGGCGCCTCGTGTGGAGGCTCGAGCGGCATGCGGCTAAACTTGGCTGAACAGCTAAACGCGGCGACGACATGGAGCTGAAAAATTAAGATTTTCACTATGCCTGGCGTGATGGGCAAATGTTCAGCTGTTGGGAAAAATGCACTTTTCTTTTCTTTAAACCTCATTTTACGTTTTCCGATTAAACCATCATTTTCACATTGCCTGGAAAACTTTTCAGTCAGCCCGGGAACGCTGTACTAGAGATGCCTTTTTTGTATCTCTGCTGTTGTCTCAACGGTTAGCAGCAACAACAGAATATTTAATTTGCCGAAGCCGAGCTGATTTAAAAGGTACTGTTAAACTCTCTTCGCCAAATCGCCAACTTTTGATAAAGTAACTATTAGTCGGTTAGAGCGTTGGTCTTACCGCTCGAGGACACTCACAACAACAGTAATGACAACGGCGATGGAAAAGCTGTTGCTGTCAGACATCTTTCGCAGAAAGTCCGTTATAGTACTCATCAAAAGCGTTTAGCAGTACCTTTTAAATCAGCTGGGCTTCGGCAAATTAAATATTCTGTTATTGTTGCTAACCGTTTGGACAACAGCAGAGATACAAAAAGGCATCTCTAGTACAGCGTATAGAAGCTACAGGTATGAAAGACGAGCTGGGTGCCATTCTACTCCTCCCTCACTACGAAATTTGCCCTCGCGCTACCTTTCCAGCTGAATACCCCCCCATGCGTATTTCTTACGTCTTTGTGGCTATCGCGGCTACTCTCCTCGCATGTAGTGATGCACTTGGGGTTTCCCATAGGAGTCTCAGGACCGAGAATGCGGCGGATGCAGACTTCGAGGAGAGAGGCGCCCCTTCCAACAAAGTGGAGGCTTTAGCTTAAAGCTTTGGGATCAGTTTGCAAAAAGCGGCGACTGACCATAGCTACTATAGCCGTTTGGATACCCGGACGCTTCAAGCGTACCAGACCGCGTTCAACGAACTGAACAAGGCTTACAAGAAGCTGAAAAACGGACGCATCAAACCAGCTGGAAGTTAAGCAGTTTGAAAGCGTCTAGTCCAGAACAAACAACATTTGTCTCGTGGAAGAAAACGCGTTCGTTTGGTAATCAAAATTGAAAGCGTTTATCTTTGGTATCTCGTTGTTATACTGGTTCTTGCTGAAGAACCTACCCCAGTGTGAGATCCTTTTGTGTACATTGGTCACCGACGTTTATTACCACAATTAGGTCAGGCCTAAAGCAACTACTGGAGGTGGCTTAAATTTTTTATTGCTGTGCACTGCGCATTATACTTAGGCTGTTTATCAAATATATATATTTAAAGTAGATAAAGGATACATCACTTTCCGATCAATATGATAATAGCTTAAATATTGTAGTAATTTTAAAATGATAATATACAAAGGGAAGCGTTTCTGTTGTGCAGGCTTCAAGAGTGTAGTTTAGCGGCTCAATAAGCAGCACGCACATCATTGCATTCACGGAACGCCGCCTTGCTACTCCGTGAGCGATATCTCATCATTACACGCACCACAAACAAGTTTTCAGATTTTTTAGGGTTAACGTTATTCCTCCAAACTACTCTACTGCGTGGCAAACAAAAAGTACATGAAATTTTGGATTTTAATGTCTGCCAGTGCTGTGCTGCTCACAAGGAGAACTTCAAGAAGCGGCTGACAAGTCCAGCCGCTTCCGCATTATTTTTAAGATAGACTGCTCATGGTAGCAGCCAATTCACGTAATTCCTGGCGGGTGGTTTCCAATTTGACTGCCCTGCTGGACTCGCTGGACTGCAGAATTCATGGCAAGGGTATTGCCTATTTATCGTAATTATGTGACTCTGAACAGTTCTACTCGACTTGTGCTGCATAGCTGTTGTATATACTCAAGTTGAGCTGCATTATATGTAAATGACCCCTTTGCGCAGGATTTGCGCTGGGTTGAGGGCAGTTCGTTGAATATTTGTCGTGGGTCGAGTGTGCTGGATTATTTAGTCAATAAGGTAATTTGCCTAAAATTTTGAGCGGATGGGCTCACCATCTAACAATTGACAATTTGATGTGTTTTGGGCCATGTTTTGGGTAGTTTTTACCTTTCCTCTGGTAGTTAACTAAAGCCCAGCTGATCTTCTAGAGCATACAATGCTGGCAAGCTGCCAACTTGGCTATACATCTATGACTTAAACAAAGGCGCACGAACTACCATAATCCGCTACGATTTGATCATATTTGTCAAATATTCTGAATTTGTGATGTCACTAAAGTGCAAATTCACGACGAATTGCGGAGACCGGAGTAGAGTGTTCCAGAGACCATTCAGAATTCAATTGTGCTAGGTGTCAGAGCCTCCACGACTGACTTTCAATACTAAAAATACTTGATTCGGAACGAAACCCGCAATTATTTACCAATCAACTTTTTGACGTTGAAGAACGCGTTAATACAAAGTCGCGCGGTGCACGAAGAAGCTCTAAAATTTGAGAAACAGCAAAATTTTGTTTTAATTTAACTAACCACTGTCTGATAGTGAAGAAATGTACATAACTCCGCAGACATGTTTGTGATTTCTAGTACACAGTAAGAGGATGGAGATCCTCTTGGAAGATGCAGGTTCCCGAGTGGAGCAAGAAGACGTAAGAGTTACATGAACAACGATGAGAAGAAGGAGACGGCGGAGAGTGGAGACGAGTTGAAGATTGACGGGTTGCCGAGGCTGACCCACGGATGTGAGGATCTTGCCCGCGCCCTTTCGAGTAAAGACAGTAGAAGACAGTGGTACGACGCAGATGCCAATGCGCAGATGGACGACACTCAGGGGAGGCACGACGAAGTCGACGTGAACCTGGAGGTCACGTGAGGGAGTGAATCAGTTCTAGATTCACGCTGAAGTGCGCAAGTGCTCCGGTGAACTAGGAAGAGATTAGCTGCGAAGTGCGCGAGCACCTAGTGGTCGAGCGGTTCCGCCGTGCCGGCGATGTACGCGAATAAAGAGATTGAAACCGAGTGTATTGCTTGTTGCGTGTGTACTGAGCTAGTGGACGCGTCGGGTGTGAAGACGCGGGTATCTGAAGTCCCGTAAGGTCACACACTCGCGGTATCAGCAGCCCGCTCGTGGTAGCCGCAGCGGTCACGGACCAGAGCACAGTTCTCTGGAGAAGAGATCACACACTCGCGGTATCTGCAGCCCGCTCGTGATTGACTGTAGTTGCTGCGGAAAGAGTACAGGCCTAGGAGATCCTGACGCCCCACGCCTCTATTCGGTCGGCAAGATTTATCTCTGGAGCTGTGCATATTTCTTGTCGTGTATATTTAGGGCTCTAGGGGTTTGTGTGATTGCAGGACGGAGTAGTGGTTACGCTGGTGGTCATACGGAGGAGTGAGTTGCTTGAGAAGACAACAGCAACGAACAACAAGAGATAAAGAGAAAAGAGAACGCTTACAGAAAATAGAACGCTTACTTGGTGGTCATACAGGGGCCTTCTAACACGGTTGGCTCCCGAGAACATCGAGACCTTCACGAGGCTTGGCCCAGAGGCACGAACGTAGCTGGAAGCGGCGAGTGAGTGGAAAGCGATCTACGGAAGTCCACGGATTGGGCTACGGAATTAGACAACGGATCTGAAGCAGAGAGTGAGTGGGCACAGACCCCTGCGCGGATAACAGAAGGCGGATAAGAAGAGGAAAACAGAAATATTGAGCAATGGTGAGCACGAGATCATCACCGAGAAACAGTACCCCTATGGCAGGAGCGCCTACGAGAAGACAAGCAACCACGCCAAAGCGTGCTAGACGTCCGAGAACCCGTATTCAACTAGCAGATGATGACGACAGTGTCCACGAGAATGACGAGATTGCAGTGAGCAGCGGAGTTGTAGTAGCGGCAATGAGACCCGTCCTGAGAGACCCTGCTGATGACAGCGACAGCGACAACCAAGCACAAGACGTTAACCGAGCGGGAAGAAACGATGGAGGAAGAGCGCAGGCTAATCTACCCGCAAGAGGCAATCAACCAGGCGGCAGTGCTCCACCAGCTAGAGCGGCGGCACCAGCAGCTCCTAACCAACGGGGTGATGACTTGGAGACGATGAACTGGTGGGATCAGCTGACAGCTCCACAGCAGAGAGCGATGATGAAGCGGTTCTTGATACAACCACCACTTGCAGCACCTGCACAGTCAGTGATAGCCCAAGCACCTGCGACCCCCGCACCTCGAGCAAGGATGAAGACGCTGAACTTAACAGATTTCCATGGGAAACCGAGCGAATCAATTGAGGCATGGCTGGCGAAGATTCCGCAGGAAGTTGAGCGGCAGGCAGGACTAGGCGGAGATACCTGGACGGCAGACAACCTGTACTTGGGTGTCAGTGCACATTTGCAAGGGGAGGCAGGCGACTGGCTGACGACGCTGACGGAAACTATGAGAGGGGAGGACAAGGCGCTCAGCTACTTGGTTAAGAAGCTCCGCAAGAAGTACGGCAGCCGGGATAACTTGTTCAGGACACAGCAGAAACTGGTAGCGAGAGTGCAGCAGCCAGGGGAACGACTTGGTGATTTCGCTGGTCGACTGAGACAGATTGGCTTCGGCAAGAGAGTTCCTGAGGAGTCGTACGTGGAGGCGTTCATGAACGGCATTAACAACGAGATGGTAGGAATGCAGATAAGAGACCACCATCCTCAGACGTTGGACGAGGCTGTGCAGCTGGCAGAGGATGCGAGCGGAGTATATGGCGAAGGAGTGAAAGTGACTGACTGGCGGGTGGCTCAAAAGCGGTACCATGACGACGAAGCCATGGCGAGCAACGCGGATGAAGCTCCGGCAGCCAAACGGAAGGCTTCGGCTACGGCGGTGATAGACCAGAGTGACTGGGCGAAACTGGGCCCTGGGTGGACTGGCAGCGAGCGAAGAACAGCCCATGTTCGACGCTGAAGGCGGCGCTATTAATCGATGGGAGAAGTCAGCAGGGAGAGACCCACTGTCTATTGCAGCTTTGCAAGCACTGATATTGACAGCCCGCAGTGGTCCTGAAGAAACGAAGCCAGTAGCAACGAAGCCAAAGGCACGAGTGTTCGAGATGAAAGCCGAATCACACGAGGCCACCAGAGAGGATGATTACCAGCTCCACTCGAAACGACCAGCCAACCCAAACTGGCAGGAACGAGGCGGACGCGGAGGTACTCGGGGAAGTGGATATTATGGACCGATGGACACGCCAGAGATCCAACAGCGAAAAGCGAGTACGAGATGTAGTTACTGTGGCAAGCCTGGACACTGGTGGCGAGAGTGCAGAACACGGCTGAAGGACTTGAACGGACAACAACCCGTACAGCAGCTTCACCAGCAGCCCGTGCAAGCGACGACTAGCAGTAGCGGGAGAGGAGAAGTCCCTGCAGCCACGACACCAGCAGCTCCAGCAACGACGTCAGCAGTAGTTCCGGGAAATGGCCAGCGACAGTAGAGATGGGAGCTCTGCTGTTCGCGACCAAAGGACACACCGACGCTGAACAAGGAGGAATGAGAAGCGGCCGTACACGAGTCAAGAGGAGGAACACCAAGCGCAAGCGACGGTGGACGGAGCACCAAGATGACGGCTGCGAGATAGTTGGTTCAGTCGAAGAGCGGAAGCCCGGAAGGCCTGACTGTGACAGCGTGTGACACCTTGGGTAGTTCAGTGCAGGGGAAGAGTGAGGCGGTCGGCGCGAGTGGAAGTGATGATCTGGTGGAGATCAATCGACCGAGGAGAGCGGGAGGGGCTGATGCAGCCGAGAAAGGAGGAGAGACCCCAGCGGTAACGAGTGAGCAATTGAAGCGGTGGAAGAAGCGGACAAACCAGCAGATGCGGTGGCTGCGGGTCCCCGAGAACAGGTGACGGCAGGCCCAGTGT